AGGCCAACGGTACATTACGCAGTGCTGAGTGCAGCAGCCCAAGGATTAGAATCCTCTGTAGTGGTTGTTTATAAATATCTTTCCTTATCTTCTTGGCAAGGGCTGTTTTTCAAAGCAGAAAAATGCACAAAACTGCCTTTTTTTCTCCTCTAACAGCATTAAGCTTGTTTTTATTGCCCTGTTTTGTTACGGAGTGATGCTAGGGAAACAGCAGGCTGTGCCATAGCATGACATGAGTAACCATTTACCTTTCTGGACCTGAATGTGCTCAGCCTTACACTCTGCTATAACCTCTAGAGGTTGTCAGAGGCAGAAATCAAATGGCTTCCATTAACTTTTGGTGCCTTTGAAAATCCCTCTAGTAGTTTTGGATGACAATCTTCCTGCCTAGCCATGGTGTGTTAGCATTAGACCTTAAATCGGGTCTGACATTGGGCAGTGGGAATGTAACCTCTACATACAAATGGTGCAATCCAATAATCTCTAGTTTATGTCTGCATTTTTCCATAGCAGAGAAATTAAAGGTTGGGAGGATTTTGTTGTTCACTTTTTAAGAGAATACAGTAATGAGAGAACAGGAGCAGGAGGGCCAGGAGTGGGTCTGTGTCCCATCAGGAGTCGTTATGATTCCCAACAGCAACATCAGGAATGGTGCCACCTCCCCATTGTGGGTTTTTAGGGCTGGGTCAGATGTAGATTGCCTCTTTCTTCTTTTTTAATGCAATACAGAAAGAATCTTCCTGATGTCTCAGACTCACATAAGACAGTTTGATGGCAAAGATTTACCTTCCAAAATAAAATGTACTGGGAGTCCCTACATGAGACTCAAGAATGAGGAGAGACTTGAAGGAGAAAATAGATTAACAAAGCCAGTTCAGTCAGAACTGGACCTGAAACAGCACTATTCATATGCAGGCAGTTTCACTTTTTAAAGAAGCTTAGTTTGTTTTAATGAGCCAGGATTGCACCAGTAACACTGCTAAGGAGCTTATATTTAATGCCTAATCTGCCCTGTTTAAACCAGACAATATCCACACCACCTGGCTTTGCTTTAGCAAATATTCCAGCTAAATCCTAAATCCTGCAAATGAGGAGATGGGTTTTCCTTCCTGTCTGACTGCATTTGGAGTAACGCTGTGTTTTATTCTGCAGCACTGAGAAGAAAACGGCAGAATCATGCCAAATATCTGTGTGCAGCCTGACACCTTTGGTAGTGCTCCTCAAAAGTGCTGTGGGATTTTGGGTGCACTCGGTCAGGGCTACCTCTCAGCCCCATTGCAGAGCAGGGACGCCTCTTTTGGGGCTAATAAGTGCTTCCCACCTTCTCTTATTGTTATTGTTATTATTATTTTTATTTTTATTTTATTTTTAAAAGAAAATGTGTGGCCAGAAGGATCCTTAGCAATGGGAGACAGAGTGTTTTAAAGCTGCAAGGCTGCTCTTCTTACAGTCCTGAAGGGATTTTGGAGGGTTTTCCCTAAAGTAATATTGCAAAAGTGATGGGAAAAAAAATGCTTGAATCTGGATGGTTTAATTTAAAGTAATTTGAAGACCAAAAGCGGGAGCAAGGCTGTGATTCCAGGACAGCTTTGCCAGTAAGGGAGCCCAACCTGTCAAACAAAACATGGATGGAATCCTTGCAGCTTTCTGGGGACAGGATTTCAGCTCAGGCCCACAACGTATCACTGTGTGCACGTGTGCTTCACCGAACAGCCACTGTGATGCTTTCTCTTTGCTCTGAAGTCAAGCCCCAGAGGTAAGGCTGACCCAGTCTCCCAGTGGCCACCACAGCCAACTGATGGCACTGTGGTTTGGGATGGCCAAACACTTGGTGGTACCACAGTCACTGTGTCCATAAAGGCGCTGGCTCAGCCCAGGAACCTGAGAGAAACCCCGTGCTGATGGGTGCCGGGGTCCCTGCGGAGCACAGGTAACACTACAGGCGGTTCGCCCAAGCAGCCCTCTGTGGAGGTGCTTCTATGCTGACTACAGGCCGTGTTCTTCTTTCTAAGGGGCGGGTTTGCGCGAGCCTTTTTTTACATGCAGAACTTGTGTGTGTTATTATACATTTCAGTTACCGTTTGTATTTTATGCTATCTAACTGAATAAACAGTTTGGTATTCGTAATTCCGCGTCACCACCAAAACTCCCACAGGCGCAATAAGGCGTTCCGTCAAAACGGGGGGGGGGGGGCTGAGTGGGAAAGCCGCAGCCACGCATGCGCGGCACCGCCTCCCACCCTCCGTTCGACTCTCGCGAGAGCGTCGAAACCTGGCCCGGCCCTGACAGCGAGGGACGATGGCAGCGGTGGGCGGGCGGCTCCTGGTGGCGGGCGCGGGACGGGCGCGGGGCGGAGGGCTGCGCCAGGCTCCAGCCGCATCTCTGGTGCCGTCCCGGAGCGCCACGGTCACCCGCAGCGGAGCCATTTTGCCTAAGCCGGTTAAGGTGAGCGAGCGGGCGAGAGCGGCGGGGGCGTCGTAGGTCCAGCGGTGGCCAATCAGGGCGGGAGTTCCCGTTGTGGGCGGGGGCAGAGGGATTGAGTGGCGGGCGTTAGGCCAATGAGCGGCGCGGCTGCGGGCGGGGTGGGGCCGGGAGCGGCGTCCCGGACCCTCCGCGCCGGCCGGTTTCGGGGCGATGAAGTGGTGGTACTCACTGCTGCTGGGCCCTTCGCCGTGGGGTGAAACGCCGCTGCCCCCTGCTGGGCCTTCCTTCCCGCGGCTTAGCCTGGCCCGAAGCTCCCATAGAGTTGCAAAAGTTAATCCACGGTGACGCTGGCTGAAAAAAATGCATCATTTCTCGGTTGGATCCTTGTAGACGCCCTTTGGCCTCCTGAGAGTGTTCAGCGTTGTGATCCCGTTCCTGTATGTCGGGACGCAGATCAGTAAGAACTTCGCAGCCCTGCTGGAAGAACACGACATCTTCGTCCCAGAGGATGACGACGACGATGACTAAAGGGTACGGGAATGGCACGACCGTCTCCAGGGGTGCCACTACTGGTGCTTCTGTTTGCCATGGTGCTGGGACACAGCCCTATAGGGAGTGCAGGCAGCAGCTGTGGTTGAAGCTGAGGACATGTACAGCTGCGCTGCCACTGGCTGTGAGCTTTTTGGTTCCTCTGTAAGCAAGTAGGCTGGATGTATGTACTTTCCTTCATCTGATGTGATTCCATCTGGTTTGTCCTTTTGTGTAAGATTTTACTTTGGGTGTTATGCAGTGTTGTTTTATAGTCATGTGTGCAGTGTGCAGCTAAAAACAAGTTTGCAGAGATCTCAGTCGCTCGTTAGAAACTTGTTTTTTGCAAATTGCCACCTTGCCTAGTTTGTGGGAAGGAATATGGCTGCAGATTGCTATGGCATATATCTGAAGAGTAATGTCTTTTTACTCTGTTTGCAGAACTGTAATTGGAAGAACAGAAGGGAGGAAACCATTGACAGACAGACATAGTGCCAGCATCTGCCATCTATGTTTTGTCCTTCTTCAAGGGGACGGGGGGGCATTACATCCCCTTTGCCAGTGAATGTCCTGCACTTGTATGTATAAGAAAAATCTATAGATCAGGGTTGAAATAAGTGCTTCATAAGCTCTGCATCCTTGCACATACACACTCCAACCTCATAAAGAACTGCGTGGGATTCCTTATATTAGCAATATATTAAAGAACAAGACATTTGAGGGTTTTTTTGTGTGTGTGTTTTTTTAGATTATTGGCTATGACCTAGAACTTCTATCTTACCCTTTCTACCTCCACAAGTCTGTTCCAGTGAGTAGTCTCTCTTCATATTTATTTTCTCTTTGGAGTCCTTTCTGTAATTCAGCACTAGTTTACGGTTTATAACAGAAATCCTAAGGAAAGCAGGAGCCCCAAAGCACAGCCCTGTTAAAAGATCAGAGTGCATACTGACAAAAGCACTGCTGTTGAAACAACATGCAACAAAGCACTATGCAGGTATGTCTGATAAACTGCATTACTGAATTCAGTACAGCATTGTCAGTGCAGTTACAGTTCTGAATAGCTTTGGTAACATAAAAGGTGAAGAACATGAGAGGCAAACTAAGCTAATGTGTTTTATAGCATTTAATGTATGTAAGGTGAAACTGAGGCTCCAAGTACCTTGTAAGGCCAAGATAATTCACTACTTCTCTCTCAGTCCTAATACGTTTTCTTAACTGTCTGCAAAGTTCAACCCCCCCTTATTTTCTTAAGCATTTACTACTGCTATTAAATCATCACACAAGACTTAAAGGCTTCCCTGTTGCTAGTACCTTCAGTCACATCAGACAAGTTGCACACCAGCTGTTTTTTCAAATACCTTGAAAGTTCAAAGACAAGTGATTTCATTTTTAAACTCAGCACTTGTAATTTGGCAGTTTTTTTATTTGCTGTTTAACTCTCTAGCTTAGCGACACAAAGAGGGGCCTGTTATCTAAGTAACCCCAACAACTGTGGCTGAAGACAGCTGGCAGGATCTTGAGTCACTCAATATCAGAGCTGTGCTCTCTTTCTCCAGACTCAGTTCATGTGATCTTGGGAGTCACTCATGCCTGTTTTCTATATTGCCAAACTCCTCATTGCTGCATTTTCCTGCTGTCTTTCCTGCCCGTTCCTGGTTCTGTCTCTTCAGCCCTGTGTAACTACATTTTACAGTGGGGAAATGGAAGCTACTGATCTTTTCAGGGTACAGAGGGCTTTTCTGGCCTATTGGATTTCAAGACATTGTCTGCTAGGAAGTAAACGGAGAACAGTGTCAAACACAAGGTCAATAAAAGCATAGCATGAATAAGAGCAGGTCTCAAGCACAATACTTTGGCAGCTGCAATGGCTCTCTGAAGGCCTACTCGTCTGCTGTCTTCCAAGGAGCTGCTGCCTCCGCACAGGACTGCAGGCTGAGCTCCACAACTGGGCTGCTGTGGTTATTCAGATACTCCAGGACAAGCTCCACTCACTGAAAATACACACTCCTATAAGCCAGGAGTCAACTCTCCATGAATGTTACAGCAGCTTGCATAAATACCAGATTCAGATTTATTGAATAGTCTCGTAGGCTGGTATACAATCTGTCTGTACAGATTTTTTTGTATCATGTAGAACTTTATTTGTAATACAAGACAGGAAGACACAGAATCTGCTTCATGGATCGTGGCCTTCATAGAATTTGGACAGAAAGTCTTTAGGTCGTGGGGTTTCCGTCTCATGAAAATACCTCATGACGTGTGTCCTCTGCTTCCATACATTTATGGTTTCTTGAAGATCCATTTTCCCCTGTGTAGAGACAGAAGAACTTCAGACTGACTCTCAGGTGTAGCTCAATTCTCATTATTCAGCACTACAGAACATAGTGAAGCGCACTGAGTAAAGATGATTAAATAACGTTCTGCTAATGAGGATGATGCCCTGCTGTTTTTGGTGGTATGGGCAGGACAAGGACAACAGGCACAAACTGGAGCAATGGAAGTTCCATATGGACATGAGGAAGAACTTCTTTACTGTGAAAATGACAGAGCATTAGAACAAGCTGCCCAGAGAGATTGTGGAGATTCCCCAGAGAGATTCAAAATCTGCCTCTGTGCTTTCCAGTGTGACCTACTGTAGGAACCTTCTTTAGCAGGGGCATGGACTTGACGATCTCCAGAGGTCCCTACAGCTCTGAAAATTATGTGCTTTTTGCATGCCTTTGAGTTTCACCCACTGTATCATCCAGGACTATGCAGACTTTGTTTTTAACCATTTCAAGATAGGGTAGCTGTCTCAAAATGCAGGAAATCCAGCAGATGGGCACAGCAGTTCTTGGCTGAAAGGATTTCCATGCATTACAACAGCAAAGATCCGTTATTGCCACGGAGGCCTCTTTCAGAGCCTTACACTTGGTGCACGACCAACACTTTGAACCCACCAGGCTGCATCCCTCGGACACAGTGAGTGTGTTACTGAGCCAGGGAAAGTGCCAAACAAAACCCAAAGCCCGCCTCCCCTCCCAGGCAGGAATAACTCGGTTGTACCTTAATGACCAGCATGTCGATCACCCGCGGGTCCGTCACATGGGCGTTCTTCATGAACATCTCCCGCACCTTGTTGCGGCCCTGCTTCACCGTGATGTCCAGCTGGTACAGGTGCACTGCGGAAACAGCACAGCGCCTGAGACCGTCCGCATGGCTTCCTCTTTCCACCGACAGCCGCAGCCCCCCGCTCCCGGAGCGCCGCTCAGCCCCCAAGGGCTGCGAGGCGGCCGTTACGACCTTGAGCTCGCGGCCCCTCCTGCGCACGCGCGGCCGGCGCCGGGCCCTCACCCGAGTTGGGCACCTCGCGGTACCAGGCGCGGTACAGCTCCCTCACGCGCCGCTTGGCCTCGACCAGGTCCCGGCTGAAGATGGGCTTCACGGCCGCAGCCCCTCTGCCCGCCACCGCCATCCTGCCGCGGCCGCCCCGTCCCGCACTGCAGCTTGCGGCACGCCCGCCCCTACCGCCCCTGACAACGCGCTCGCATTTCTATTGGCCCGCCGCGCTGTCTCTCCAGCGTGCCCGGCCTGACTGGTGCAGAGGCGACCAATCGGCGCCGGGAGTGCGGGAGGAGGAATAGTGAGTGGGCGGGGCCCAGCTTCGCCGGGCGGCGGCCGTCAGCTCCTCCTGGCGGTTGAGCCCGGCGGGCGTGAGGAGACGGTGGGGACCGGCGGGGCGGGGGCAGGGCGGGACGGCTCTCCTAGACAGGGCTGCGGCCTTCGGAGGAGCGTGGCGGCGTTGCGGCCCGTTCGTCCTGCCCGGACTTGGGCAGCGCTCAGCGGCACCATCTGATCGGCTTCCGTGCCGGATGCGGCCAGGGGTTGGACTCGGTGCCCCGATGTGTGTGGAAGCTGCAACCTCGGCTGTTCGGCGATTGCGTCGTTCGAACGGCCCATTATATACCCGTATGCAGACACGAGGCTGCTGGGGCCCTTCAGTTTAGGTCTCTGAACGCTCCTCCAAAGCATGGCTGCTCGCTGGCTGCTTTATGGAAACGGCCACCTTCAGTTCAGTGCTGAAGGGACCTGAAACGTAACACTGAAAGGACTGGAAGGAACTGCGGGTGCTGGCGACGAGGAGAGGAATGGCACGTGAGTACGCGAGGTGGGTACAGGGCAGGACGGTCAGACAGCCACAAGGCAGGACAGCCCTTCCAGATCATTTATTTTGTCAGATTGTCTTGTAGGTGAGAACCGTCAGTGTGCAGTTCTGCTGAAGCTGAAATCTTAACAGCAGTGTAGGTAATCACATACATAATGGGGATTTCGTAGGTCCCAAAATTAGTATGAGAAAGAGAAATGTAAGCATGCGTGCACCGTTTCAGAGGCTTTTATGTTGCAATTATGCATTCGTGCCAAAGTTTCTGCCAGCACGAACAAGATTAACATGTTGCAAAACAACTGGTCAGCAATGTTGCAGGAAGAAAAAGCAAATCGCCTGTGACACCTGCAGCTTGCTCATTCAAGCGATGTAACTCTATGAGTTTGAAATCTTCCCTGACTTTGAGTAATGATGAAAAAGCAGTTTTGGCGAGCTAACTGGATAGGAGGTAGTAATGGAGGTACCAGAAATCATCTTGAAATCCATTTGTGGGAATTTTTGTCTTTTAGAAACTATCTGCTTCTGGAGCTGAAAGGTCATATTGATAATTTAGGTACTCCTTGGTACTTCCTCCTGCTGGAGTCCTAGTTGGCAGGCATTTTGCTTTCTTTAGGGTTGTAAATGAAGGTAATGCAGTATATGTATGCAATTTACTGCAGTACACAGTATACATGAAGTAGTGCATGGAGTCTATGTTTACTGCACGATCAGGAGCACTAGTCTGAAGCCATGTGCAGTCCTGCAGAGGAATGTGACTTTGTAAGTGCTGAAGCTCTCACCCTGCCCACCAACAGCACATGCCAAATCACTTGACAATGCGGGCCTTGTTTTTGCAGGAATCAAGCCAGAGTCCTCCTGGGCACCTGGATGGCACACAGAGGCAGAGCACTAGAGGCAGAGAGTGGCCAGTGGGGAAGGGAGGTGTCCAGCAGCAGTTTACAGTATTTTCCAAACTTTTTTTGCTCTTAGAACCAACACGATATCTCTTACCCTGGGTACTCTTTGTGTTTCAATACACAGGACTGAAATTGAAATTAAGCTCAGCTAAGGATACTGGGCCACATCCTTACTTTACACAGCTGGGGACATCTGCACAGACTTGGGATAACTAGATCCTGGCACAGCCCTGCAACATTTCTGACGGTGTTAGTGGTGGTTTCTGAGTGAAGCGGTGCACACTTATCTTGGCACAGCTTGCAATTGGTATGGGTGTGGGCTGTTTAGAAAAGCAAACTGACTGTCCTCCCGTGGCCTGGGCTGATCTTCAGGAATCACAAAGGTGAACTTCTGCATAAGAGTGGTGAAGAAGATGAAGAGCTCCATCCTGGCCAGTTGTTCCCCCAGACAGGCACGTCGACCTGCAAGAAGGAATTTCCGTGGGAGAGAATATTGAATCACACTGAAATCACTGTGGGATGAGCGCCCTTTGTGTGTAGACAAAGGATGGAGCAAAACACAATTCAGAAGCCTCCTTGCACTGAATGGAGAGAAGGAAGAAAGTGGGACTGGTTGTTGACTGTGTGAAAAAGGCTGAGGCACTCAAAGCTATTTAGTTAGTTGGTGCATCATGTCTGTCAGGCACAAAGTCACAGAATAGTTGAGGTTGAAAGGGTCGCTGCAGGTCTTACCACCTGCTCAATTGCAGAGATAAGGAAAAGGACAACCCTGGACTTCCACTTCCCAGGAGGCACATCACCACCGCTCCTGCCGTGCACCAGACTTGCAGCTAGACCCTCCCCTTGGATTTACCTGCAGAGAAGGGCAAGAAGGCCTCTGGTCTCACAAATTCCCCATTCTCATTCAGGAAGTGTTCGGGATAAAACTCATTTGGCTTCTTCCAGACTGTCTCATCCTTCAGCACAGAAGTCAAGTTGGTGATGATTGTTGTCCCCTGCACTCGTTCACAAGAGGAAGCAACTTACATGAGAACCACAGAATTATCTTGGCATGATAGATCAGTGCTGGTCCCTCTTTAGTCTGTCTTTCCCACCTAATGCAGTCATTGTTAGGTGCTTCAAATAAGGCACCAAGCTCTTCTTGATCTTACTGAAAACAGAGGTGCAACACTTGCACATTTCCAGTAACATGTGTTGCCTGCAAACAGCCTCTGCTTCTCATATCCCATGGACTCGTTTTATAGCTGGAAAGGAAAAGCTAACAGATTTCAAAGCCCAACCTTTGCATGGGACATGGAAAACCTCAAAGCTCCTGTTTTAAACATCGGGGAGTCATTGCGTGGCTTAAAAAACATCTCAGGCTTGCCTTACAGCCAGCACTGCCAGGAGAGGGGGCTCCTGAGATGCCTCTGCAGTTGGTTCCTGCATAAGCAATGTAAACCAGAGCACAAGTGCAACCATGTGTGTGATCTTAGTATTTCAAATTTCCTAGGTCAGTGTTCTCCACGATTGTGCTTTGGGGCAGGAGGGACAAAGCTGCAGAGTTGTGTGGGGTCACTGCAGGCCTGGCCTCTCCCTGGAGCAATGATGCTGCCTTGGCTTTCTGGGCACACACACCTTGGGAATGAAGAAACCTTGAAGCTCGGTGTCCCGGTATGTCATGTGAGGTAGCCCCATAGGAATAATGTCCCCACAGCGTTGTACTTCATGGATGACGGCATTGGTGTAGGGCATGTTTGCTTGGTCTGCCGTGGTGGGCGGTCGGTTTCTTCCAATCACCTTATCAATCTCTTTGTGAACTTTACCTAAAAGCAGCACAGCTTAGGAATTAGAGCTTCCTTAAGTAGTCAGAAGGGTCTGGTACAAGATATAGGAAATCTGGCAGCATGAGCTGAGCAGGCACTGGGTGAGAGCAAGACAGTTACAGAAAGGAGCAGAAACTGATGGGAATACACTTTTTCAGTTGCTCAGAAAGATCTCTACAACTATTAATTGTGCACAGTGCCTTTCATGAAATTCTTCTCATTTGATATTCTTACCATTCCCCTCCCCAATGTGACTGAAAGAGTACTTGTGGAATGCAGCATTTGAGAATTAAAACAGCTTAGTGTCTATTCCAAATACAGGAAGGAGGGTACCATGGTCACTGAAAGACCCCCAGGAGCCTTCAGTGAGAGGGAACCTGAACATGGCCTTCCAACTCCAGTCTTTTCAGCATGTTCCCTACCAGTCTCCCTAAGCTGTGCTAGAACAGCTGTGTCTGGGGATGCTGTGTTTGGGGAGGTGTTTCTCCTGGTTTCTCCCAGAAGAACAATTCCCAAAGCTGTTCCTTATTGCAAAAAGCCCAAAATATGGTGAGATGTGCACTGTCCCTGCAGTGAAATGAGTGTTCAGAGAATCATAGTACACCTCTACTTGTCGTCTCACTTACTCTGTATTTCTGGGTACAAAAGCATGAACAGGAACGCCCATCGGAGGGTGGTAGAGGTGGTTTGAGAACCTGCTGCAAGCAAGTCTGATGTCACCATGCTAAGGTTGCGTATATTGAAACCATTCTCTTCAGCCTCATTACCCTGCAGAGTGAAAACGAGAGTGTGACAGGAGCAAAGACACTTTGAGTGAGAAGACTTTCTTTCAGAGAAGTACTGAGAAGCATTTTTGCTGACCAGGATCCATTTTTGCTGACCAGGAATTCATTGGCAGAGTAGAGCACAACACAAGCGGTGGTCTGTGTATGACTGATGTGCTTAAATCATGCTGATACCACTGTATTCCTGTATCCTGAGAAGTGAAAGCTGTATCTTTATAGTGAATGCCTTGTGCTCTCAACTCAGCAGAACACTGACACTTACTGTGAGCAGCAGAGAAAAGTGACAAGAAGGAATTGGATCAGGCTCAGATCCACCCCTTATATGCCTGCAAAGCGATGCAGGCTGAAAAGATAGCTGCCAGACACTGAGTGGAAAAAGAGTGTGGTAGTTGGGGACAGAAACAGCAGATTATATGATCTTTGAGGATAATCAAGGAGGGCTCAGCATGGAGAGCTGAACACCTAATTTCTACAAGAATGACGTGGAATGACGAGGTAGGAAATTTGTAACAGTCTTTATAGAACTGTGTAAGTGAAGCCAACTTCTATCGACAAGTTTAAAGAGCAAGAGGAATTGCCTCAGGTCTGTGAGGTTCTGTTGATCTCTCCGTACCTTTGCCATTTCCTTTAAAAATGCATCAGTGAAGTCTCGGGTGTGAGCAGGGTTCCAGGTCTCCCTGTGCTTCTCTATGAGCACTTCTGTGAAGTCTATGTATTCCTTCTGGCTTCGAAAGATCTTCTGTGGCAGTCCAGGGATGCGCAACAATATGGGCGCCACATGAAGAAGCTGGCAGGCCAGGACCATACAGAAAGAGACAAGGTTTTATGCGATCTAAAAATTAATATCATGGAAACA